AAGGAAGGAAGGAAGGAAGGAAGGAAGGAAGGAAGGAAGGAAGGAAGGAAGGAAATTCATTGCAAATAGTTTTATTTATTCATTTGTTTTTATTTATCAAATTTCAAGAGCACCCAACATCTTGGCAATTCTTTGCAGCTTATAAATAAAAAGACAATGCATTTTTAAGAATAATACAACCGACCAGAGGAACAAGATATCAACTATAAACCAATTATAATTAATGGCGGTTCCCTGGAAGAACAACTAAGTCTTTAAAAATTTCCTAAACAATAAAAGGGCATACAAATCTCTGTAAAGCCAGCTTCAGTCTAAGGCCGAGTGACCACTGGCTAAGGCTCTAATTTTAAGAAGCTAAGAATTTTAACACTGGGGGGGAAAACCCTCTGAATAACAATGAAAGTGAAAAGTGAAAAACAGTAGTGGAGTACTTCCTAAGTCAGCATGCTCACTCAAGGGGTAAATATAGGTATTCCTCGACTTACGACCACAATTTAGCCCAAAATTTCTGTTGCCAAGAGAGACATTTGTTAAGTGAATTTTGCCCCATTTTAAGTTAAGTGGATCTGGCTTCCCCATTGACTTTGCTTGTCAGAAGGTTGAAACAGTGATCACATGACTCTGGCACACTGCAGCCATCATAAATATGAGTCAGTTGCCAAGCATCTGATTTTGAATTTTGATTACATGACCATCAGAATGCTGCAGCAGTCAAAAGTGTGAAAAACAGTCATAAGGCACTTTTTTCAGTGCCATAATTTTGGCCCCTAAACAAATTTTTATAAGTTGAGGACTACCTGTATAATTTTGCAGTGTAAATAGGTGAAAGTGTTTAAGCAAAGGAAAAAAAGAATTGTCTGTGGCTGAAAAACATAAGTGTAAAGCTTAAAAATTAGAATTAAAAAAAAGAGGTTGCCATTTTGAAATTCCTAACAAATCAGAAGATGAGCCAAATTGTAGGGATGTCAGAATATGATTTTGACATATCTAGAGCTACTCCTGAAGGGGAAAAGGCAGTTATTGTAAAAGATTAGAGGTTCTTCCTGGGTCCTACAAGATGACTTAGTTTAATCAATGGGACCTCAATTGTGCTTCCCTTGGTTGATGATGCCAGATGAGTGGATACTGCTGAAGATAAACAGCCCTTCAGAAATCTAGGTCCCTATGCCATAAAGGACTTTAAAGGTGATAACCAGCATTTTGGATTGCATTCAACCAATATAAAGCAGCAGGGTCTCAGGCATGCAATGGTGTTTCTGCCACAGTTTTCTCACCATTGGTTTTTCACGCAGCTTTCAGGGCAGGTGACTAGGCATGAGTAACTGGTCGAAGGCCTCCTGGTCCAGAAAGGATGCAATTGGCTCATTAGAAACCCTTGTGTAATGAGTGATGTCTGGTCTTCAAGTAAGAGATGAAAGTCCAAAAGAACCTGAGGAGATTGCTGCATCAAAACCCATTGCATGGACCCAACCTTAGGTTATAGGGACTGGATCTAGCAAACAGGTGTCCAAACTAGAGAATTGTCCAAGATTGGAGAATTCTGGCCTTCACATATTTTGGACCACAATTCTCCCCTTCCCACAATCTGGCTATACAGTTTGGAGACATGACATCTGCCTACACTGCCCTTCCTGTTACTTCTACTACTTTTTTTTATTAATTTTTTTTACTTCTACTACTATTAATTAACTAGAGTAGTGTGCCACTCTCTATGATTATCTAATTAACTAAACAGAAGCTCATTTTTACCCTGCCTACATGGATTGTATTCACACACAAGTGTATTCACACTTGTGTGTGAATACAATCTAACCTTTAAGTTTTAAAGCTGAGAAAACTTCCCTGGAAAATTGAATATTGAGTGATTTTTCTTTTTTGAAAACCATGGAATTATTGGTGAAAGATATATAATTCTGGATTGTAGATGCCAGTGTTAAGCTGAGGGTACATTGTGCAATTTTCCATTGGATTACTTTATACCACTGCATAAAATTTTAGTTTAGTCATTTGATTTGAAGCCATTTTTTCCTGAATCATTGAACTGCAATGTCATGTTAAATGCCTCTGGATTTATTTGATGTCTTTTTTTTTCAAATTCATCTGGAAAATTGAATCAATATGATTTTCTGAATCATCAAATCAGAAAAGCATAGATCCACGTATCTCTTCTGCTGTATTTTTAATCCTTTTTAATGTTGTTGTATAGGCCACAGTGTCTGGGATCCTATTAAGCCATCCACAAATCATAATAGAACTTGTTACACAATGTGCTATGGCTACGCCAATACCTAACTCCTACTTTTTTTCAATGGCTCCAGTTTTATTTGTGTAATATGATAACAACCATTAGAGGCTTGTCTTTCTGGTGTTAATCTCAGTTTATCTGGGTGTAAACTGCTGGAGAGAATGGGTTTTGAATTGTTTGTTTCCTTCTTAGTTTTTTATGGTCTCTTTTGAATAGTGGATAAAAAGCATGACTAGACATAGAGACAAACCATATTTATACAGCATTCAAAATGAATCTTCTTAGTGTTATTTTATGCCTTTGAAATGAATATAAATACTTTATTAAAAGGCTAAGGATATTTTCCTTGGCCTTTGATTGTTGGATTACTCAAGTTTGTTATTATCAACATGGGAGAGATCTTGAGGTATAATATCTGTGATAAGACACAATTAACACTTATGGCCTTTTCTCTGTGTTCTTAAACATAAATGTAAGATTAATATTTACCTTATATAGTGTTACCTGTATTTTATGTTTTTATAATGTTAAGAAATCAGAATTTCACTTAGAAAAGGCAAAGGCCGAATTATTGTAGAAAATGACAGGCTTTAGATTTCTCAGGATACAGGAAAAGCCAGGTTCAGAAAGCTAGCCCATGGCTAGCAATGCAAGTTCTGAACAACCTTCATTATCGAAGCATGCATTCTTATACATTCTCAAAGGCAGCGTAACACAGAAACACTTAACTCATTTCTTAGTGGTTACCTTGAAAGCCTTATAAGGAGATGGGGGTCGTACTTCTCCTTTTGTTTATGGAGGACGTGCCATTAAGGAACTTTAATTGAACCTTGGACTTTTGACATAGGTTTTGACATAGGGACGTTGGCTGGAACATCTTGTGGTTAGGCACCGGCTTCCTGTTCTTTTGCAAGCTGCAACTCTGCCTATGTGGCTTTTTAATATAGAAGTAAAGGGGTCCTGAGAGGCTGTCCAGCCTGACCCAGTAGGTTTCACACTTAATGTTCAAATCCCACTTTATGTCCTACTTTAATATGCCTTCAAAACAATAGCATGCCTGACTCACCCCATTCTCAACTTTAGGTATTACTTAAAATAAACTTAGATTCAAATGTTACTTACAACATGCATTGTAGTCTCAGGCGGAAAAAAATATGTCTTAGTCCAATGGGTTTATTCCTAGCCAAGTATGTTTTGGATTTCATCCTCAGACAAGCTGTCTCTGGTCTTCTTTTTGTCTTCATACCCATGTAAATGAAAAGGGATTATGATTACACTGAATATGTAGACTGGGCTCCCTAAGTCTTGCATGTAAAGCTTCTGTTCTGTATCTCACATTCGGTTGAATGTAACTACAGTTCCATTTCACGTCTTATTATTTTTGATAAAGTGTAAGATTTGTTACAGAAGGGTTATTTTATTTTATTTATCAAATTTAGACAGTGCCGCCTTCTCACTATGCAAGTGATCGTGTGATTTACAGATATAAACAATAAGTTCTAGTCCTGCCTTAGGTGTGAAAGCCAGCTGGGTACCTTTGGGTCAGTCACTCACTCTCAGTCTCGCACATCTCACAGGAGGTGAGGAGGAAGGAGTATTGTATGTGTTTGCCATCTTAAATTGTTTATAAAATAATGAGGGATATAAATATAAAACATAAAAACAGGGCTAAACTACTAACTTAGCAAAAGATGGTCACATACAGGAATGAAACAGTTCTAACTGAAGAAATTTTGTGAGGTTTTTTTAATATTAAGTAGCCAGATGTTCCAGAGTGCAAGTCATTCATAGTTATCACTATGGAGATCGGAAAGAGATAGAAGCATTCAACTGCGATAGATGTAAGACTAACCTGGAAAAATAGCATGTAAGGAATACATGAAAGTGTTCATTTCAGGCTTCCTTGTACCTGATTGCTTTAGACATCTTCACATATGTTTATGTTTGAAAGGTGGTGATAAATTGGTAGGTAGCTTAGAGATCATTTATTCTATCCTCTGACAGGCAACCATTCTGCCATTGTGAGATGATCTGTATCAAAGGAGAACTCACCAATTGACTCCCAGGTTCATCTCCTGGATGGAAACTAATCAGGAATGAAAGCAAATCAAGGACAGAAGCAACCTAGAACTAAGGAGAAATTTCCTGACAATTAGAACAATTAATCAGTGGAACAACTTACCTCCAGATATTATAAATGCTCCAACACTGGAAATTTTTAAGAAGAGATTGCACAATCATTTCTTGTGAAATGGAATCGGGTATGCTGCTGAAGTAGTGGGTTGGATTAGACTATCTCCAAGATCCCTTCCAACTCTGTTAATCTGTTATTCCTCTTTTAAATTTTTGCAACTTAGTTTTTGCCAAAGTAGTCTGATCCATTATCCACTATGCCTTGATATAGAATCATATTGGAAATTCTTATTTGTGTTGTTCCTGAATATTGTCAGTATTATTGTAAAATACTGAAACTCACTCATATCATTCATGTAGTCAGTCTAATGTCTATGGAATAAAAGTCATATTTTGGGTGGCCATTCTGTGTGACTATTTAGATAGAAGGGGCTGGAATTCCACAAGCCAGTAATGGAAATTGGGGACAATTGAATGATCCACATTATCAATAACTATCAAAAATTCTAACAAAACCAAAGCTGGTCTTACAGATTGGGCAGTAGAATGACTACTTGCTCCTTAGCAGTTGCATATCTCTAAAGTCATGATACTAGTTAACATGGTTGCATTATGACAGCTCTGTCCCAGTCACCATGGACCATAATGGCTAAATTAATTCTAGCCTTAATGGAACTGTGTTTTTTTGTTTATTATATTTATATTTCAATGGAATTTAAGAGAGTCTAGGATACTGTTTTCTTACTTTACCCCATTTTTATCCCTATAACAATTCTTGGAGTTAGATGTGGGTGACAGGTCTAAGTTCTCTGTCTTTTTGGGTTACTAAAGGACAAGTGAATCAAGAAGAAGTCTTATTTATAGATGTCCTAATACATCTTTGTAAAATAACCTTTATCAGGCATATTTTTATCTTTATAGAGAACATAAATGCTGCATTTAAAACTTAGGTGGCATGAGAGCTGCATTTCTTTGGAAGAAAATATCTGGTTTCTACCAGCCCTTCCATTAATTAAGATCATAGAAGATATCGCTTTCTGAAGATTTTTTGAAAGAGAAGACCATGCTGGTCAGGGTCTCATTTCTTAATCTGCTAATTAAGGGGTTTCTTCTTATCAGCACATTGTAATTGCTTTTTAACTCTGATTTCAGTGTTTCATTCTTTTGTTTTTATCTTTTATTTTCTGTATATGCTGCCTTCAAATCTTTTTCTCTAAGGGATGGGCAATAAGGAATACTTTAAAATACAGTCCATTCTCTTAACGGTTAGCTGTCCTTCAAAGTTATGATTTCTTATAGTCATTGTTACAAAGTTATATAGCATGGATTCTGCTAAATCTTTAAAGGAGGATTGGGGCAAGATATTAAATTCTGGTCAAGCCAGCTAAACATAGAAAATGAACAATTTACAAAGGAAACTACATGCCTTGATTCAGAATGAAGTTTGTGTTCAGTGGAACTTATTCCAGGAAAGTGGGAATAGAAATGCAACTTTGGACTATTTTGTACACAGAAATCCTCCTCCATGACTTCTCTTTTTTAAATCTTTTTCACAGACTATCATCCAAGCCTACAAGAGTGGACTTTACCTTAAAGGAAATGCAAGTCTGGGCAGATGGGACTTTGTCGGCTCCTTCTTTTTCTCTGTTTCTACAGTAACAACCATCGGTAGGAGTCATAGAATACCAGTTTGCAGAAAATGATGTGAAATAATTATAGCACAAACTAAGCCTTTTTTATCCCATTCCGTAGCAGAAAGAGGTACAACTGAAGAAGAAAAATTGGGGTGTGTCTTAGAATATTTCTGAAGTCTTTCTCTTGCTGCTTTATTTGCATTTGATGGAAAATTTAATAAAATGCATGATAATTCACAAATAATCTCTGCTCAGAATGAAGCAGATGTGATTCTAAAGACATATTTGCTTTAAGCTGCACATCTTAGCCATGTTCTTAGCATCAGTTGAGTACATGGTACCACCAGGGGGCATAAAATATTTCACTCAAAGCAAATGACAGTTATAGATAACTTTCACAGGACCCCAACTCCAGTAATTAGGAACATGCATCAAATCATACCATGTTTCCCCGAAAATACAACCTGTCCTGAAACTAAGGCCTTGCCACATTTTGGGGGTGGGCAAAAATATAAGCCCACCCCCAAAATAAGCCCCCTGGACAACCCCCCTCCGGCCAGGCAGAGCACCACTCACCAACCTAGCAGTATCCCAAAGGCGCCAAGCTGCGGGAGCTGTGGGGAGGGGGAAAAGGCACTCACATTGCTTGGCGCCTTCAGGATACCGCTAGGTGGGGAGTGGCATTCTGCCTGGCTGGAGTGGGGAGTTGCCGGGCTGCTGCTCCCTTGTCTGCAGGCTCCCAAAGAGCCGGGCACAGCCTCGAATGAAGCAGCCATGAGCTGACCACACTCACGAGCAGCCACCTGGCAAATCCCCTCTCCAGCCAGGCAGAGCACCATTCACTGACCTAGGGGTATCTCTAAGGCGCCAAGCCACATGGCACTCTGCCCACCCCCTCCAGCTCCTACAGTTTGGCACATTAGGGATACCCCCTAAGTCAGTGCATGGAGCTCTGCCCGGCTGGAGAAGGGGGTTGCGCAAGCGTCTGTTCCACCCCCAGCAAGCATGCCTTCCAGTTCACCATGCCCTGTCCCAGCTCCCCCTGCAGGGCCAGGGTACCACCGCCACCCCACGCATAACTTCTCCAGCTTCCAAACTTCAAAACTCGGCTGCTGAGTCTTCCAGCAATGGCCACTCTAGGAATGCGCTCTATGGTTGTGGGCTGGCTGCCGGACAGAGAGTCTTCCAGATAGAGAGTCTTCCGGCAGCCAGCCCACAACCATAGAGCACACTCCTAGAGCAGCTGCTGCTGGAAGACTCAGCAGCCAAGTTTTGGAGTTTGGAAGCCCGAGAAGTTATGTGCGTGGCAGCAGCGGCAGTGCCCTGGCCCTGCAGGGAGAGCTGGACCAGGGCATGGTGAGGCTGGCAGGCATGCTTACTGGAGCCGTAATAGACGCTCGTGCAACCCCCTTCTCCAGCCAGATAAAGCTTCATGCACTGACCTAGAGGGTATCCCTAATGTGCCAAGCCGCGGGAGCTGGGGGGCGGGCAGAGTGCCATGTGGCTTGGCGCCTTAGGGATACCCCCTAGGTCAGTGAATGGCACTCTGCCTGGCTGGTGAGGGGGTTTGCTGGGTGGCTGCTTGTGAGCATGGTCACCTCATTGCTGCTTCGCCCCTGAGGCTGTGCCCAGATCTTCGGTAGCCCACTCACAAGTGAGCAGCTGTCCTGCAACCCCTAATAATAAGGCCCAAGCCATATTTTGTGGGTCAAAAGAAAATAAGACCCTGTCTTATTTTGGGGGAAACACAGTACCAAATGTTTTTGAATCCAGTTCTTTTTTGTAATAACTTTTAAAGAAAGTAACTTTCTAAAGGATCTTGGCCATGAGAGTTTATGATTCAAGCCTATAGGGGGGGTGGTTTAGATCGGGTCCTCAACCCCCGAACCAGCATGCTAGCAACCAGGCAGTGCAAACAAGCAAAGCCCCATCCATGGAATGCAGGCAACGTGCAAAACCACACCCCCTCCAGTCCACGGAAAATCTGTTCTCCATGGTTGGATGGGCATTTGCCTCGACAGAGCTGCTCACACTCAGATCCTTGATTGTGGTTGTTTGATATTTGCTCATAGCCTTGGACTTCTGTAGAACCCATGAGGTAAAATGTTCATTGCATAAATTAAGAAGCCAACTCTGTTTATAACCCAAGTGCTTTCATCTCTGGGTTTTCAAATATTATCTTGGACACTCTGTCTCCTTTGAATATACGAATAGCCTGAACATGGGCTATAGAGAACAAACCATTCACCAAAGTCATGGCATAGGGTGGTAAGGCATTCCTATCTTTGTGTCATGTTACTCTGTCCTTTTTCCCGTTTGGTTGTAAATACAGGCACACACATACAAACAGTTCCTCTGACTGTGAACAGCATAAGTGATGTATATATCAGGCTACAGGTATATATATATATATGTTTGAACAACTCTGCTGCTTGCTCTTTTTGAGCTGTTTGGTGTTTGTTTCCTATTTAAAATCCAGGCATGTAGACAAAATAAAGAGCAAAAGAGTGAGGAGGAATCAACCTGTAGACCTACCCCTCTACCCTGCCTATATTGTAAAAGGAAAAAAAAACAGATCTGTACCCAGACTGCCCTGTGTTGTACTGGTAATGTCTATATCTACTTACAAAGATCTATTTTAAGATGTGTGAATTGAGTATCAAAGGCTTAATGTGCAGCAGGTTTTAAATTGGAAAAAAAAATCAGCAACATGCATAGCATTTTAACTCTTGGCTGTGTACTTAATGAGTCACAAGATGGCAGTGTTATCTTACTCTGCAGCTGCCTTCTGCTTAAATAGGCACTTAATGATTAATCATCATTTAAGCAGCACATTTGTCTCAAATAAGACTAAATTAGAGACTTGAGGCATATCATGGGCCATATTCCATGCTTCATCAAATTAATGCCTTTTCCATACACAATTGCATGGGGATATATGCAGAAAACAATTTTTTTTCTTGAAAACGTGGTGGGTATGTAAACTAAAAGCTGCAATAGTGCAGTTATTCCAGTGTTTTAAAAATCTATCAACTCCCAATTAAGCACAGACATTCTTAAAGAGGTTTAGCAGCAATTATTTTTCAAGCATTTGAAAGGAAATTTTAAATAAAGATATTGGAAAATGAGAACATTTAATTCTAGCCACTTCACTTCTGAGAGAAGAGGTGTAGTATCTGGAGTCCTCTGAAAAATTAGCATCCAATTAAATATTTTTACTATAAGAGAAAATGGGAATTATTACATACATAGGGATTCAACAGGTTAAATTAATGAATTTAATTAACAAATTGCATTTAGCTTTGATTGTGTCCCTGCAAATTCTATTGCCCTGGTTCCAACCACTTATTGCAGTAACAGAGTTAAAACTCTAAAGAATGCTTGGCCCTGCATGAGATTATAGATTTTATAGATTTCTAACTTGGGGCTGAAGCAATGCCTGGTTCCTAGTACTACCCAGCCCCTTCCCAGAAATAGGGAAGGAGCTGGGCAGAAATAGCCCCTTCAGTCCAAACTGAAATAGAAGAGAAAGAGATTAGAAAGCTGCTAAGTCTTTTCCATATTTCTACTTCCAGGGAACAGCTAAAAACACACCAACTGTGCCTAACCTTGATTTCAGATTGGTAAAGATTGGATGCAGAACTACTACTTATGACTGCAATTGAGTCTGCAATTACAATAAGTTGGGATGGCTGAAAAGCAGCGCATCATGTGACTGACCTGATTTTTTTCCAAACCTCCTTTTTTTGGGGTGGGGGGGCAGTTGTTACATGAACAGAGCAATCTTAAAGTAAATGCCGTAGTTATTAAGCTGACCCATCGTTTGCTATGGATCATTTTTACCATAAACAAGAAGTAAACACTGATTTTCAGCGAAAATGTGAATCATGGCTGCAGGACACTGCAAATATCTGTAAATGTGGGCTGGTGTTGAATTGAGATGATATACATGTAAAGTCTGCAGAAAAACCAAACAATTCTCTGATAATAAAAACTGCGAGTGCCCTGTCCAGTACAGGGAGTGTAAAATAAGAGAGGGCAAAGTCCAAAGTCCCATCCCTCCCCCCCCCAAATCTGCTACTAGAGTTTACAACTGAGAATTTCAGTTAGCCTATAGTTTTCAGATTTGGCAGTGAGATTTAAATGTTTACTTGTCTGGGTCAGACTTGCTGGCTTCCCTGAAGTTTGAGGCATCAAGAAAACCCATTAAAGTTCCTGGAAACTTTAATTTTCAAAGATTCTCCCATCTTTGACTCAGCAAGATCCCTTGAAACCAGGGCTTGGATGGGATGCTAAGCTGCAGATTAAAAAAAACCCAAATACACTCTTTGCCTCTGAAATCTTTTGCTTGAGCCAGTTCAAAGAGAAGGTTAGGATCAGCCTTTCAGCCAGATTTGGAAAACTAAGATTTTGAAAGTACACAGTTGAGTGTGAATTTCATAAGCTTCATGTACCCAGGCATCTTTGTGGGAAATACTTGTCTGTTGAAGGGTGAATCCAAGGGTTAGAACCACTTTCTGCACTGGAATAATCTTTGTCAAAGGCTGAGCAACTCTATTCCCACTTTATTGAGACATTAACAAAATTGGAGAGAAACATTAAGGAAAATGCCTGACTTGTTGTTTCATGAAAGTTGTTTCATGAAAGTTTTAGTAAAAAAAAATCTCTTTGTGAACATGCACTTGAAAGAAAGATTGGAGTATAATATATATAAAATGATGTTTCAGATTTGGGTATGCCGCAACTATTATCACTTTGAAGACACTAGATGGCAGCACAGGATCAATGGGAATGCTTAGTATTTAGTCATTACGGTAGTGTTCCAGGAATCAAATCTATAATACACCCTCTTTCCTATGTCTGCTGATTTTGAACAGTTGGAGTTAATGGGGTAAAAGCATTTTCTAATCCTATCAATTGCATCTCTAAAATAAGATTGAAGTCTAGTTAAAAGTGTGTAGAGATTCGGTCATCCAGATGACGGTTGTTCAAAGGTGCTTTTTCAGGAGACAACTGGACTTTCTTGCTTTTTTC